AAAAAATAATAAAAATATTATTTAAATTAGTATACCTATAAGTAAGCAGTAGTATAGTATACGTTCGATATTAAGAATCTTAATTTAAGATACATCATAGTTAACACAATATACTTTAAATTTCATAAACCATTAAAAATCGCAATCTTAAAAAGATATAAGGGACAACATCAAAAATAAAACTATTGCTGATATGAAAACAGAATAAAATACCACTCATATCAAATCTCAACATGTTTAGAAGATATTCTATATAAATTCTGCACTAAGTGATGAGTGTATTGATTTAACAATGATATGTTTTGTTTTTTTTCACCATATTTTTGTTTACTAAATCTTCATGTTTATTATTATAAACGAATCAATAAATTTAAGTATGAATTAAAATCATGACCAATGATCAACAATATTATTAATTTTTAATRATTTTTGTGGCCAACCACCGTGCGTCATCAGGCCCCACTCGCGGTATATATACTTTTTAAATGTATACACATTTTCACATTTCTGTTTTTAATGCCCTCTGGATAATGCTTGGAACAGTTATAAGGTTTTACAAATGTGTGTTGTTATAATTTAATTTAAGTATAAATAGTATAATGTATAAGTAAGTTTTAATCAGTTGTTAAAGTAGTATAAGCAGACAAACAGTATTATAATTATAATATAGTAATATATATTGTTATTACTATAACAAAATAAAGCTGGTGAGTGATTTASTTATGATAACGACATCAACGTCCAACTTCCTACGTGAAWCATCCTGATCTTAAAATATTAATTTTAAAAACATAAACATATATAATATACTTAACTGCTTACATATATTTGACTAATTTTTTTTTTCGATTTAAAGATAATGTTGGACCAACAAGGCAATCTTCGTATAATTGTTAAAAAAATTAAACCTTTGCTTGGGATTGCAATTGAAGGAGGAATCAATACAAAACATTTACTTCCAAGGATAATAAATATACACGTAAGTATTTAATATAACAATACAAGTAGATGTAGTAGAATAAGTCTAGGTACTTATAGATTTTATATTTGGTCATTTGGAGCAAAGATAAAGAGGAATAGAGGATGTTGAATAAATACGCTGTTGATCAGTAAATAGTTATCAAGAAAAAAATATAATTACAACAATAATATAGGTACTAATTGTAGGAAAATGTTGGTAAAAGCTTTTATAATGGTGTAAGTATCTGGTAAACTAATATACAGTAGTAATATTATACATATTATAATATTGAAATTTTGAGGTGCCCACCTGGCCACCTGCTATTCTAAYATTTTATAAGTATTTTTATTTTCATTATTTTCAAAATATTTGTAAAAGCATTAAYGTTTGAATTTGAACAAGATTTATTAATATTTAGTTCAGTATTATTTTTGTTTGATTTTGATAAAACGTGTTGACTATATTTAAATTACTTACCATAGTTCCATAATTGTRAACACATGACGTATAAACAAGTGTATATAAACACTCGCGTTTCTTTCAACAAACTATATTATTTATACCCAATAAGGTAGTCCTAATTTTACGAAGATGATTATATTTCAAATTAATCTCCCCCTCCCTAAAACTATACGTATCATACCAGTTTTTGTTAATAATCGGTTTTATATAAAAAAAATATTATTCAATAAAATAACCTACTCCCATCCTCGTGTTTTGTACTGAGGATTGTTTTTCAAATGTCGTATACAGCATTTAGCTTAATAAAAAGTATCTTTTMAGCAATTCTATTKATCTTGCCATTCTTTTGTCGGTGTTTATTACTTTATTAGTTTATTATATAAAATTCCATTAAGTACCCTACTTCTAATAAAATTTATTATTAGAACTATTTTTTTTTAGTGATTATAGTAGCTTATAATTTGGCTTAATGACAGCTGTAATCAGGACCGTCCCGAAAGACAAATCACGGAGGAGGGGGCCTTGTTTYTAATGTGTCTATAATATGCTGGCTCTRAAAAAAAATTTCGTAAATAATAAATATGATGAGTGTTTCAAAATAATATACCATTTTCATAACTCAATTTTCTTTGWTGTACCTAACTTACTTACATCAACCGTAGGTATACAAAATAGTGTAGTTGCAGCTACACTTTCAAATGGATTTTGGGTGCGCCAACATATTGTTTAATATTTTCCCCTTCAC